CTCCTCCTTTTCCTGGGTCGCGCCAGTCTCGTGCCGCGCCAACTCCGGACAACAAAATCGTCCTCCTGTTCCGACGAAGCAGAGAGGCAAAGAGTCTGCACTCGAGGGAACACCGATCCCTATGAACTCACATGGCTTGCAAAGTAACTGGGCGCCAAACCCTTTTGATGCCACTTTGATGTTTTGGATTTCTGGTATGAGGACCCCAGACGCCATGTGATTTCAGTTGGGTTATTAAGATTGTTCGGATTTCTCTGGTTCAGAGCCTGGCGGGCTGCACCGTGGATTTCCGTCGGAATATGCAGAAGCCGAGGATTCCCATACATCCATATGAAATCCGCCGACCCTGTCGGCGTGTGTGAGGGGCTTTTCCGTTCGAGCCGTCATCTCCGTCATTCTTTGTAATCGTCGTCTCTGTCGTTCCCTTTCCCTGCTACCCCTCTTCCCCTGGGCTCCTCCCCGCTCCACTCGCCCTTTGCCAGGGCCTCCTCCTCAAGCGCGCTAGCCAAACCGACCTTCAGCAACGTCGTAATTGATTCGAAGGGAAGCCCCTTCCCTTTCCCTTCCCCGACGGGGGGGGGAGGGGGGGTCCCGGGGGGGGTCCCGGGGGAGTCCCGGGTCAGATACGACGGCCCCCCCGTACCGACCTTGAGCAACGTCGTAATTGAGTCGAAGGGAAGCCCCTTCCCTTTCCCTTCCCCGACGGGGGGGGGAGGGGGGGTCCCGGGGGGGGTCCCGGGGGAGTCCCGGGTCAGATACGACGCCCCCCCCCCGTACCGACCTTGAGCAACGTCGTAATTGAGTCGAAGGGAAGCCCCTTCCCTTTCCCTTCCCCGACGGGGGGGGGAGGGGGGGTCCCGGGGGGGTCCCGGGGGAGTCCCGGGGAAGTCCCGGGTCAGATACGACACCTCCCTCCCCCACCTTCTCGTCCTTCTCCCCGTTCCCCAAAACCATCCCACAGCCCGTGCCTCTTGCTGCGCATTGCGAACAGGGTCGGCGGCACCGGCCGTAAGGCCTTCGCAATCACAAGGTTCTGGGACTCCCGCAACAACAACCCAACCAAACCACATGAAATCACGAGGTATGGAGCCCTTTGACTCCGCAGCCAAATGATTTCACATGGGTCGTCGCTCCCTCGAAAATGTACATATATAATATTTATTTATTTTTATATATATATATATATGCATCTAGATGTTTCTTTATACACACACACACATATATATATATATATATATATATATATATATAAAAAAGTGCATGTGTAACCCACCCCTTCTAGACCAGACACTCTTTTTAACTAGAGGGCTCATTCTTCCGCCAGGGCAGGTGACACGGGAGACAGGCGCACCGACACGGGAGACAGGCGCTGGCCACCCAGATTATTAAGGAGCAGCACGGAGTGAAAGCAGGGTGGCACGAGAGTGGGAGGCTTGAGCAGTGATTGCCACGCACGGTAGACGGCAATCAGACGGGGTGCAAATACAAACTCGCGTGGAACACTATAACGCACCCCACCCCCTCTAGACCAGAGAAACTGCATAACTAGAGGGCTCATTATTCCGCCAGGGCTGGCGAGAAGGCAGGCGCACCGACGCAGGAGACAGGCGCCGGCCACCAGATCCATACTGACAGAGAAGAGCCACGCCTTGTCCTCTGGCCCGAAGGGCCGCATGGGAAAAACAAATGAACTACTAAATATGCCGATACATCCCCTGAGGCTCGAGCGAAACGAGCGCGCCCGAGGAAGCGGTCGCTGAGACTTTACAGAGCTCAGGGGGGCAAGGCTCAGCCACAGACGCCCAAAAGCGCCCCTCAGAGCTTTTACCTTGGAGGTTCTGGCGTAGCCTCTGGGAGGCAGAGCGCAGATTGTCATCGCGTTCACAAAGCTTCACCAAAGAGGTCAAGTCAATCAGGACGCCCAATAATGTAGTGCGCTTCCTCCACGGCGCCCCGAATTGGCAAACATCAGTCGAAATCAATTGCGAACACGAATTACGAGCGAGAGACAGAACAGCGGGAGCACGACAGATCCTACTCGAGGCAGGTCTCTCCGTCGCGCCAGAAGTCCCCATCCTCCTACACGCGTGGATGCACGATGCACTGAACGACATGAGACAATTGCCAACGTCAACGTTAGACTGATATTTCGGTGAGAGCCCAGCAAACCCCATCACATGATCGTTTGAACGCAGCTGCGGCGGACTTGGCGGGGCGTCCCGAGCACGGGACCACGAAGAGCACGGGACGCCGAAATGCACAGCAGTAGTGGCGCGCCCGAAGATCCAGCCTCGCACCAAAGAGCGCTTGGCGGGATCGGCCAGGTCGCACTGGTCGCCACACAGGACATCCCAGGTTAGAACGCGAAATCCTCTCGCGGCCATCGCTCGCCCAAGCCGCGCGGCGCCGGCAAACGCCCCCAGGAAGACGCGCAGACTCAGGGGCCGCGGAACCCGCGCGGCTGCGGCGATCCGCAGTGCGCCGCGGGGACGCACTTGAGGCACCACCGCGCGTGGGTCTGGAGGCGCAGCGGCAGCTCGGCGAACTCGCTGCCCAAGCGCCCGCCCTTCTCGCACCTCCCGGCGCTGGCGCCCGCCCGCTAGCGGCCCCGGCGCTTCACCCCCGCGAGCGCCCGCCGCTGTTCGGCGAAGTCGCGGCTCGCGCCCGAGCGCCTCAGGACGCGCGGCGGCGGGGGCCGCTGCAGCAACAGTCGAGCGCTAGCCAGCTTGAAGCTGCGCGCAACCTCAGCCTGGCCGAAAGCGAACAGCGGCCCCCGCGGCCCTCGGCTCGAGATGAGCCGCCAGCACAGCGGCCCCAGCCACTGGTCGTCGGCCAAGTCCAGCAGCAGGGACTCGTCGAACTCGCCCGTCTTGCTTGGGAGGCTGCCCTCGTCCCCAAGGGGCGGAAGACAAGGCCCCAGCGCGCCAGCCCGCGGCTGCCCTCTGCGGCAGGAGGCGCCAGGTGCTCGACCCGAACCGCCTTCCAGCCGCCGGGCCGCATGAGGAACGCGAGCGAGAGCATCGCGAACGCGGCCATGTCCCATCGATCGGCCACCAGCAGCTCCATCGCGACAGCTAACACCACCTCGGCTGGGAGCGGCAGGCGACTGGCTGCAGGCGTCAGGTTGCGCCACCCCTTCAAGGCCTTCCGCGCCTGAGGGAGCTTGCGATGGCCCCCCTTGTCTAGGCGTGGATCCACCCAAGCCAAGGCCGCCATCAGGTTCGCCCCGCGCCAGCGGTCGAACCCCTCCATGCACCGCTCGGTCATCCACTCGCTCGCGCTGCGGTCGAGGAGGCCCCGCATCCCAGCGCCTAGGGGGCCGCTCAGGCGCGGCCTGGCAGGGAGGCCGTTGAGCACCAGCCACTGGTCCAGCTCGTCGAAGAACTCCGAGCACCGTCGCCGAACTGCAGCAGCGCGCACGGAGCGGTACTGCAAGCACCGCTCTCGCTCCACGCCTGAAGCCAGGGGCGCCCGATCGGCCGCCTTGCGCCGTCGGCGGCTCTCGCCCGCCACTCTCAAGGAGGGCCTCCGCCTGCTCGAACTCGGCTGAGTCGCGTTTGGCAGGCGGGCGGGCCCAGCGGGCGGGCTCGGCGAGCGCGGCCTGCGCCTGTGGCGAGCCAGCACGGGCGCCTCCCCGCGGGGCGCAGCCGTTTCCAGAAGCAGCCGCCGGCGGGGGAGGCGCGTCGCGGCCGCCTGATCCAGGGCAGTCCTGGGCGCCAGCGTCGCCGCCCCGCCTCCGCAAACAGCGCGGCACGGGCCTCGCGAAGGGCCGTCAGCGCGGTTCCACTCGCTGGGGAACCAGCGAGTGGCGAAGACCGCGCCCGTGGTGAAGACCGCGCCCGCGGCACGGCCATGCGCAGTCACGCGCCGAATGGCGGCGCGCACCCCGACGGCCGACGACCGCCCTCTGCACAGAGCCAGAGCACAAGTGAGCAAATCAAGCACAAGAAGATGCCGTGCCTCGAAATTCTTCGCGGAGCGACATCTGTGTTTTACTGCAGCAGTAAGACCCCGAGTCTCGCCATGAACTATGTTATCTAGCGGCATGCACCACGTCTTGCCTCCTTCAAAATGGACGGAAGGTCCGAACGCGCGCCCTCCCTCTCCTGCGCGCCCCCCCCCCCCCATCCCACCCACCCACCTTCTACACCCAGTCCGCGTCCTCGGAGCCCCCCTGAGGCCCCAAGACACCTTCGCGAGACCTTCTCTGGGCCCTGCCCGAGAATCTCCAACGCTCACTCACACGTCCAAGCCGTTGAACGGTTTCGCGAAGTAGGCGGCGAGCGACGACGCCGTTGCCCCAGAACGACGCATCGGAAGCGATCGCCTTCGAGCTCCACGACGCCCCAAAATCACGATTGATTAAAGGCATGATGTTCCTGAAGGCCTCCAGCCCCCAGCGGACAGAATCCCAAAGTGCCGCGACCCCGCGATCACGATGCCCGGCGACGAAGGCGTAGACGGACCGGAAGATGGAGAGAGACGCGCGACAGAGGAGAGCAAGGAACGCGCAAGGACCCACGATCTCCTCGACATCACTCGCAGACACACGCTCGTGTTCGAGCAAGCCTTCCATCGCCAGCCAAAACCACCAAGCGCGTTCGGGCCGAGGCCAGATGGAGCCCTTCCGACGATTGATCTCCCATCCAATCACCCCCTCCTCCTCCTGAGTGCACGCTGCAAGTTCACGCGTAGGAAAGCCTCGGGAGCGAAGCGCATCATCGACCTGTCGCACGAGTCGCCCGACTGTCGAGCGGCACGTGCCAAGCGCAAGAATATCATCTACATATACTGCATGGCAAGCGGGAGCGGACGCAGGCGGGCACCCCGGTCGCGAAGGAACGAGGCCTCGCCGAGGCCAGGAATGTCCTGGACGATACGCCGATGTAAAATCTGACAGAACCATAGAGCATGGGACCACCCCATGGGTGGCAAGCGAAGCAGGGGGCACACAGGCGTGCCCGGACTCTCGCGTCGCCCACTCCGGCGACCCCAGCAACTCAAGCCAGCGCGGCTGGAAGAGCAGAGTAGCTCCGCAGCGGCAACGCGAAATGGTACAAGGCATCCTTGATATCTACGTGGCCCACGTACAAGGTAGCTCCTGCTGGCACTTCCACGTCCAAGTGCAACCCCAGTGCTGAGCCCAACGGGGTCTGAGGGCGAGAACCAGCAGTTCGATCGTCGGCAATCGATCACTAAGCGTTGCCTGCGCTGCTTCTTCCTGACGAAGAAAAGCAGGCAAAACTCCGGCGGCTCGAGCGCGTAGTCGATCATCGCGGCCCTCTCCAGCCTCTCGATCAGCCGCTGGTATTCATGCGGAGAGTTGCGCAGCACCTCGTCCACGCATGTCTCGCGTGGAGCGCTCTGGAGATTGAGGCGGGCGGCTTATTGTTTGACAAGATGGGCACTGATGAAACCGTCGATTTCGCAGTCTCCACCGGCCCCAAGAAGACCTGCCAGCGGCTATTGGCAATCCCCAGCAGCAGGCAGGGAGGCCTTCAGCTCGTCGAACGGCACAATGGTGGACTGCGTGTCTTCGCACACCAAGCACCCTCGAAGCTCCTGCAGGGCCCCCGAGGGCGCAAGAGCGAGAGGAGGGCTCATCGCCGCAGCGGCAGCATAAACACGGCGCTGCACAGCCGCCTGCGGAGCCCCACCGCGACTGGATATGCGAGCAGAAGACCCCTGCTCGCCGCCTGCCAACGAGCTGAGCGTAGAGATAGCCAGATCGCACATGCCCGCGACCGCACGTCGTCGCAAAACTCGCCGCCGAACTCGGCGACGCAGAGACGCAGCATGAAATCGAGGCGCGGCGTCTCCTCCAGCAAGATAGGGGACAGGAACAACATCTCACTGGCGAAGCCCTCCAGGGCGCGGCAGTCGACCTCGCGACTTCCAACACTCAGGAGGCTCGAGACCAGGAGGAGCATGAAGTAGGCCATCTCCTGCAGAGGCGCGTGGCAAGCCATGAGGAACAGCTGGGGCAGAAGGGCCGGCTTGCTCTGGGCCCCATCCCCCCCCGGGCCTCTCACCCTGGCCGATATTTCTGCTTCCGGCGAAGTTCGCGTTCCTCCTTCGCCTTCCAGATGTTTTAATGATGGTTGCGCCGTTCTCAACCTGCAACTTCACGCGCTCCAGCAATCCAGCAACGATGGCGCCGCCATCAGCAGATCGCCCACGCGGCTGAATCCAGAGAAGGCGGTGACCTCCTCGATCGAGAGCCGCGAGCTGGACCCCACATCCGTCTCCCTGATATTGTCGAGGTACGCCCACTCGATCGCATGGACCAGCTTCATTGCCGCCTCCACGCAGGACAAGTTGCTGATGTCGAGCTGTTCGTATTGCCCTGCCAACTCGATGATGCGGAGCAACGTCTCGCGCTCGGCGACGCCCCGCTGCTCGGGCTTCCACGAGCACGTGCTGCGGAATATGAGGTGATGGTCCAGCGGAGTATGCCTCCGTCGGAAGAACGAAAGACACCAGCTCATGCTTCTCGATCCGCTCACGGGGAGGTCGTCGAAATCCTCCTGCACGCAAGTCTCGACGACGCCCGACGCCCTTCCAGTCGCGCATGCGCCCGCCTGGGCCAACCTTGACCGAGAGTGCGCGGGCGTCGGGCTGCGCCTGATCGGTGACAGCGCGATCACGAGGGGCCAGCCGCGGTGAAGTCCTCAGGCTCCTCGTCGCTTAACTCCACGACCCCGCATCCTTGCCGTTCGGCGCGCAGACGCCCTTGACCCCCACGGACACGGTCACTGGTCGCACCTCGAGCCCCAGGTCGAGCCCCAAGATGTCGTTGGCCTCCGCGACCCCCCAGACTCCAGCCAAAGGAGTCTTGGTGCCGCCCACGCTCGCCCGTCGGAGCCTCCAAGCTGTGCCCCTGCGGCAACCACGCGGGCGCTGGGCTGCACGAGCGCCGCGCCCAGCAAAGCCTCTGCGGCGACTCGGCGCCCTCCACGGCAGCTCACGATGGCGCAGTCGGCAGCAAGCCCACCGTCGGCCTCGGCGACCTTCACGGCCTGCGTGGCCGCCCGCGAGATCCACTTCACGAGGTGGTCGTCGGAGATCTCACCCTCGGGAAACGCCTAGACGGGGTCGGCAAACCCGCGAGGAAGGCGGCCGTCAGCAGCAGGGCGAAGCCACTCGATCGGACTGTCTTCGGGGAGACCGCCCTGCACACTCTCGATGTACTGGTCTCCGTCAGGGGTCACCACGTTCCAGTTGGCAGCGCCAGACGAGTGGGCAAGGAGCGGCCAGCACATCACGCGTTCATGCCAGAGCGCGCCCCCCGCGCACCAGACTAATATCACGTCGCCCGGCACCCTGCCCGACAATGGCACCGCGGCCAGCATGATGAGCACGGCGCCCACACGTCTGGCCCAAGTACTGCGAGCAGGCGGATCCACAGCTCTAGCAGGCTGCCACCAGCAGCACCACCAGCCAGAGCGGCACGCAGACCGTCCAGGAGGCCGCCTCGCCCGCACTCTCGCGGGCCTGCGATGGGCAAGGAGGCGGCTCCTCGCAGACGGTCGCCTCGCAAGGCGGGCAAACCGGCGCCGCGCGGGTCACCTGCGGGCAGCTCACCGGCTGCGGCGACGGGCAGGTGAGCGACACCTGCGGGCAGCTCAACGTCGGCGCGGGGAAGGCGGGCAGCGGCGGGCAGGACGCTGGCGGCGGGCACGTTGGACAGCGAGCCAGCCAGGCGCCGCCGTGGTTGGCCGCGCCAAGGATTGCCGCCTGCGCCAGCTGCCCAACCACCATGCACAGCCTCTTCAGGAGTCCCGTGGGCTGGGCCCGCGGGCAGAAAGGCTTGAGCAGTGATTGCCACATACGGTGGACGGCCATCAGACGGGGTGCAAATACAAACTCGCGTGGAGTGCTATGACATATATATACATATATAAATATAGATAGATACACATATATATATATATATATATATCGAATTATCTCTCTCTCTCTCTCTATCTCTGTCTTTCTCTCATGCTCGCTCTTTCTCTCTAACTCTCTCTCTCTCTCTCTCTCTTTCTTTCTCTCTCTTTCTCTCTCTCTCTCTCTCCCTCTCTCTCTCTGCCTCTCAGCCTCTCTGACCTATCGAAAGAGAATGAGGAGGTCCTCCTCAACCTCCTCCTCCCCATCCTCTACCCCATCCCCCTCCCCCTCCTCGTCCCTCAAGCCCTGTCGGCTCACAGCATTTTGCCCTGGACCAGCCCTCGCCTTCCCGTGGGGCTTGATGGACACCGGGCAGCGCAGGGTCGTCTGCATCGCGCATCTTGGTTGACCAAAGAGGGCAGTCTCACACCGCTTCTTTCTTGCCATGGGAGCCAAGTCGACCCGCTTTCGCCGATGCCGCAGATCCAGTTCTGACAGGGTGGACGATGTGCCTGACATGCGGGAGGCAGGAGTGGAACAGCATCCTGACTAGACACCAGTGTTGGTGCATCTAATGGCATGCCGAAGTTGAGCTGTGTAGGCTACGAGCTTTCTCCAACCATCAGGGCGGAGGAGGCAAGGAGTCCAACAGGTTGACGTTAACACTAGCACCCGTACTTCAGCCCGCACTTCAGTCATCTCAGCCGCTCAGTTTTGCTCCGACGGCAGTGTACGAGCGGGCGCCGGCGATCACTACAGACCCTGCGATGAAAAACATGTTGGCGGCCCATGTGCAGAAGCTGAATACGGACCCTCAAGGAACAACGAGAAGCGAGTTACTCCAGAGGAATCTGTTCGGCGAGCAATACAGCAGTGCGCGACGCAGCCACCAAACGTGACCAAGCCAGATTTGCTCACGGCTCGCGAAGTCTTGGGGCGAGCCACCGAACGAGAAAGTGCAGCAGCTTGGGGGGCCTTTCCGGGCCGACTTGGGGCCCTCTTGGGGTGCTCCAGAGCCGTCTTGGAGGCCATCTTGGGCGTCTTGGAGGCCTCTTGGGTCGTCTTTGTGCCCTCTTGGGGCCGTCTTGGGGGCCTCTTGGGCAGTCCTGAGGCCATCCTGGAGGCCTCTTGGGCGCTGTGGGGGCGATCTTGAGGGCCTCTCGGAAAGCCGAGAAGAAGCGAATGCGAAAATCCTTCAAAAACCTACGGAAAATCCATGATTTTGGCCTCTTCGAGCCCTCCTGGAGGACCTCATGGAGGCCTCTTGGGCCGTCTTGGAGGCCTCTGGGGGGCCTCTTGGGCCGTCTTCGGCCGTCTTAGACTCTCTTGGGCCGTATGGGAGGCCGTCTTGGACCAGCTTGGGCGGACTTGGAGGCCATCTTGGACCATCTTGGAGGCCATCTTGGACCAACGTGGCCATCTTGGAGACCATCTTGGACCATCTTGGAGACCATCTTCCGGGCCTTCCAGGTGGCCGGCGGGACGGGCCGAAGCCCCAGGGGGAGTTCCTTGGGGCAAAAAACAAAAACAAAAAACAAAAAACAACAACAACAATAACAACAACAACAACAACAACAACAACAACAACAACAACAACAATCACTTTACCCGAACGCTCAGTGTTCTCACCAGTGCCAGGGTTTTCATGCGACGCCAGCCAATACCCCCACTTTGTGGGGGGGCAATGCAAGCTCTACCAAATATCCACACGACTCTTCGCCACCACCCACACCCAGCTTCCCGCCCTATGACGTTCGGACACTTCACTTCGTGGCCTGCGGACGACCGTGGCTACTACACTGGCGTGGAGTACACACCCACAGAAGTTGTTAAGCCTACGTTCGTACACCCACAGAAGTTGTTAAGCCTTGCACAGAAGTTGTTGCCTTACACCATATGATGCGTACATGACATGTGATGTACTTGCAGGTGTTTTTCGAGGACCCTCGGCGTGCGCGCGCAAAAAACGAATGTGTCCCGCATGGATTTGACAGGGATGATGGCCCTGGCAGGTGCGCAACCGTTGTCGCAGAAGTTCGAAAAAGTTGCTCGCAAAAGCCCGTTTGACAGAAATGTTTAAAAAGTGTTGGGTTTCCTACGAATCCGCAAGAGCGCGCGGGATGAGATTTTGACATTTTTTTGTTGAAAAACCATTGGTTTTTTGATGTTTTTATGTTAAAATCGCTCCGAACACTAAGCTTTTGGAAGGATTTCGTCTTGCGCGCGCGAATGTCCACTTTACCTTATTTTTTGCAAGGGATTCTTGAAATTTGATTATATTAGAACAAGAAATGTCATTTTATAGTGTTTTTTGCAAGGGAAAGCGGGGGGGAACAAAACAACCGGATCTTGATCACATCGAATTACCTGAGGCTTCCTCACGAAAATGATGAAAATGTAGCTGCGGCCTAGGCGGCGCAGGGGGGGCGTGCACCAGGGGTCCCAACAATAATTATTCTTTAGAATTAATAATGTTCAACAACAACAACAACAACAACAACAACAACAACAACAGTAGCCGCAGCAGCAACAACAACAACAAAAAAACAACAAAAACAACATCAACAACAACAACAACAACAACAACAAAAACAACAACAACAACAACAACAACGACGACGACAACAACAACAACAACAACAACAACAACAACAACAACAACAACAACAACAGCAACAACAACAACAACAACAACAACAACAACAACAACAACAAGAACAACAACAAAACGACAACAAATAAAAAACTAAAGGATCTGGCACGCCAGGCACCCTGCGATGAATCGACAGGGGGCGGCGGATCTGGTCGGTGGCAACTCGGGACCATTCATTATCCGAGACCGGCCTCCCACCAGAAACCTCTGGGCACGTCCTCGAAGTTCACCCACCTGCGCCTCCTGGAGGAGGAGAAGGAGGAGGAGGAGGAGGAGGCATGCATACAGGTAGGCTGTGGGAGGCGCCATCGAGCCTCAGGGCAGCGACAGTCGAAGAGGAACAAGCTGCATCAACATTGTCTTTCCGAGCGCCGAACGGACTTCCTGGATCGGCGCCGGCACCCCCTCTGGGGGCACCTCCGTGGGCGCAGTGAGGCGAGATCGACTGCTTGCCACGCGGAGTCTCGCCACGTCGTGGCCTCGTGGATCCACGCCGCGGGGCGAGAATTTGAGTCTACCCGCCCAGCGCCACTTCCTCTGGAAGTGTTCGGCCACCCACTCCTGAGATCCGACGTGGCGGAACAAAAATACCACCTCGTGAGCACGATCCCTGCCAGAACCCTGCAAACCCCTCTTCCTGCGACACTTTTCGAGCCAGGTCGATCTGCAATGGTCCCCAGGGCCCGAAACCCTGCGAAAGCGTTCTGTCGGGCGTGTCCCCCTACAGGGGGATTTTCGACGAAATATAAAAAATACCCTAAAAATACACCAAAAAGGTCAAAAAATACTCAAAAAATAGTCCCCGGACTATGTTTGCACTCTTTTGGGGCTATGGTTGGGGGTCTTTTTTAATTTGTCGTCGAAAGTCCCCCCTGTAGGGGGACAGGCCCGACATAGCGACAGCGCCCAGCTCAAAGACATTGGGACGCCAGGACCTGCGGGGCGCGCGCGCGCGCGAGCGCGCGCGGGCGCGCGCGCGCACCGCCCGCAGCGCGGGCGGCCCGGCCTGCCCTGCGGCGGCGCTCTGCGGCCGCGCCCCCGGCGGCCCGGCGGCGTGCGGCGCGGGCTGCGCCGGGCGCGGCGGCGCCTCGCTGCGAAGGCCGCGCTGCGAAGGCCGGCGCCGACCGCGCGGCCGCGGCGCAGCCGATCGGCGCTGGGCCGACCGCGCAGGAGGCATGCCGGAGATCCCTGGCGCTGCAGGCGGTTCGAGCGCCGAGCGTTCCCCCCGCTTCGGGCCCAAATGAAGGGGGCCCCAGGGCACACAAATAAATACACACAAATAAACAGATTCCCCATGTTTTCACATATTTTCGGGGGTTTTTGTCTTCCCCCCCCCCACTTCCCATAGTTTCCCATATTTTCTGGGGAATCGACAATCAATTGTGTCTGTGTGTTCTCTCCTCTCCTGACCAAAGCGGCGCAGAAAGATCGGGTCTAGGGCTCTGCCCGATCGTGGCGGTGGACGGTGTTGTAACTTGTTCGCGCCGCCAGGGCTCAGCGAAGGCGAGCGCCCCGCCGCGGGCGGCCAGAGCACACTGGACGAGAGGGGAATAAGGGGGCGGCTGCGGAGGGGGAGCGCATCACAAAAAAACCTGCTCGGGTATTACGGAACAAGGGCATTGAAAAACAACCCGAGGACGTGGAAAACCCGAGGTTATACCATCCGAGGGTATAACAAAAAAAACCGAGGGTCACAAAAAACGAGGTTATTACAAAACCCGAGCGTATAAAGAGTCCTGGCATCCGCATCCATTTGTTGTACCCAGGGGGGGGGGGGGGGTCCTCGGGCCGCCCCTGGCATCCGCCGATGTGCATCTCTCTCGATCCGCGGCCCCACAAAAGGCCCGGCCGCTCCCCACGGCGTAGCTCTTCGCCGCGGAGCCATGCTTCATGGCCCCCGTAGCGGCGGCAGCGGGCTCCAGAGGCCAAGACGAGGAACAACGGCGGAAGTGACAAAAAAAAAGTCGTCTGCGACCAGGATCGCCGCCGATCGCCGCCGACGTCGCCGCCGCGACCACGCCGCCGATCGATCCGCGAGGTCGCGGGCGGAGCCCGGCTGCAGAGCGGCCACGGCGCGGCAGTGGCCCTGGTGGCCCGAGCGGCGCGTCTTCGGCGCGGGGTCCGACGGGCGCGGACGCAGGCCTGAGCCGAATCGGACCGCGAGATGCGATCCCCAAACATGCTCGCGTGGCGAAAAAATCTCGACCTATAGTGTCTGGCCGTCTCCAGCCTCCCGGGGACCACGCATTCGAAGAAGAATGCATCGGATGCCACCGGATCGGAGACGGATCGAATCGGCAGCGAATGTTCCAAAATCCAATTGACATCTGACCGCCGCGAACGACTCCAGCTGGCCGCGGCCAGCACTGGTAAAAGGGCCCCCAGAGGCCGGAAATGGCCGAAACCTCCTGTCCACGTCTGGGGCCCAAGGAAGCCCCGACACATTCCCCAGGGCCAGGTTCTCTTACCGGATCCATGTTTGACTGTCCCTGGGCGCGAACACGACTCCTGGGCGCCGAAGTCTACGAAAAACCATGGGATTGAACAGATCAGATCACTGGAAACCTGGAGCCACACTTGATCGGAGTCGAGGCCCCAAGCAGCGAGCCGAACCGCATCGGATCGGGTCGCAGGCGACGGCCCTGGCAGCCAGAGGGCGGGGCCGGGGGCGACGTCCAGCGCGCCGCCGAGCCGTCGCCCACCGAGTGGCCCGGTGTCCACGGCGGCAGCGCCTGCGGGGCGCCACGTGGAGCGTGAAGGGGGGGGACGGGACGAGGAAGCGGACGACGAGGAGGACGAGGGTCAAGAAAGGCGCGCTCGCGGCACATCCAACATCGCACCCCCGCCCCCCGCTCCCCAGGTCTCCCGCTCTCCCGCTCCCTCGCTTTCCAGCTGAACCTGCTTCCCCCCTCATCGTCCGCATCTTCTCCTCCTCATGTCATCCTTCGGTGTGTGGGGGTCCCCTGCGTTTTCTTCCGCGTCTCCCCTACGCATTTTTGGGGGGGTTCTCGCCACAGTGCAGTACATTAGCTAGAACCACGCGCGCGCTTCGCGCGCTCAAGTTCTAGCCGACTGCGCAGTCGTTGCCATTAGAACTTGCGCTAGCTAATCCGCGAGCCCCAAGATACCAAAGGAGAGGTTCCCAAGCAAGAGCCGCCCTTGGCGCGTGGAGGTGTTGGGCCTTCTGGGGCACAGCCTCGGGTTCGGCGGGCGGGCGCGGAACCGTGAGAGATTCACGCGCGACGTGTTGGAAGGCTCTCGGTTTTTCCCAGAGCACGCAAGTGACGTGAGTGCCACGGTGGCAGAAAGAGGGCCCCAAAAGCTCAGGGCCGCCAGGCCGCCGCCCCGCCAGGCCGCCCCCGCGGCCGCCGCTGTCGCAGCCGCCGCCGCCGTCGTGATGATCGTCACGGTGATCGTCGTAGTGGTCGTGGTGGTGGTGATCGTCGCTTTTGGACCTGATCGGACGAGTGCAATTTCTGGGGCGCGTTGTGCTTTTCTCGGGCTTCCTGAGGCCGCCAGGCTCTGGAGATCTGCCGAGGCCGTCGGCCGTCGTCGATCGTTGGTCGTCGTTGTGGTCGTCGTCAGAGACCTGGAGGCCACCAGGGCTCCACGTCGTCGCTGTCGTCGTCGCCGTGGTCGTCGTGGTTGTGGTCGTGGTCGTCGTTGTCGCCGCCAGCGTCATCGCAGTCGTCTGCGAGCGAGGGGGAAGAATGAGGGATCCAGGGTCGAGGATCGAGGTTTGTAAATTATGTTGGGCCTTCTTGGGACTCGCGGGGTCGCTTTCGTCGCCGCGGTCGCCCAAGGCCTTGGGCCCCCGCCAGCGCTCGGGCTCTGGCCGCCGCCGCCGCTACATCCGCGGCTGGCGTCGTATTCATCGTCGTCGACGTTGCACGCTGTTCTGAGGATTTGAACGTGGTTGGCCTTTTCGTGGCCTCCCGTGCCAGAACTCGGGAGACACCCTGAAACCTCTGGGGACCGTCGAGGGTCGTCGTCCTCCTCCTTGTCGTCCTCGACACCTTTGGCCCTCCTCTTGCTCCTGCGGTGTGATTCGGACTCGGGACATCCGCTCGGATGGCCAGGGAGAGTATCCCAGAGATCGGTCTGAGAGGATTTTGAAGAGACCAGCGGCCCGAGCGGGCGAGCGGACGAGGAGGTGGGAGGGAGGGCGGGGGGGGGGGGAAGAGGGGAGCAGCGGGACAAGTGTGGGAGAGGAGGAGAGGAGAAGGAGGAAGAGGAGGAGGAGATGGCTGCCTCTCTCTCTCTCTCTCTATCTCTTTTCTCTCTCTCTCTCTCTCTCTCTCTTTCTCTCTCTTTTTCTCTCTCTCTCTCTCTCTCTCTCTCTCTCTCTCTCTCCGCACCCTTCCTTCTGTTTCCCCTCCCCCGTCGTCTTGATTCTCCGAGGCGGGGAATCCCACCCGCCCTCTGGGCGCAGGTGGTTTAGGGCGGCTCCTCTTCCAACCCCCTCTCTTCCCCTTCGGGGCCCCGTCCCCTGGACTTGGACGGGGGGGGCCGCGAAGCGTCGGAGCGTCCAAAACGGCCTCGGCGAGGAAGCCAAGATCAGTGGTTCTACCAGGCTTCTGGCCCCATTCTGGCCTCTTGAAGGGGCGACGCTAATTAAAGACCCCCCCTTCTTTGATCGATCTCCTCCGCGATGGCCCCACGAGCGCTCCCAAGGCTCCCAAGGGTGCCCCAAGAGGGCCCCAAGAGGTGGCCAGGAGGCCCCAAGAGGCTCCCAAGAGACTCCCGAGAGGCCCCAAGAGGCCCCCCAGATGCACCCAAGACGCTCCAAGAGGCCTCGGCGGCAGTGCCAAAATCATTGACTTTACAAAGGTTTTGGCCACAGTTTGGTCTCCTGGGGGAGGGCCACTGCTTCGGATGACTCTAAGAGCGCCTGGGAGAGCCCAAGATGACCTCCAAGATGGCTCCAGATATCCCAAGATGATTCAAGATGGCTCCCACGATGCTCCAAGAGGCCCCAAGACCGCTCCAAGATGGCTCCAACTGGCCAAAGAGCTCCCTCAGGAGGCCCCGAAGAGGTCAAAATCCTTCCGAAACCTTGGGGAAATCAATGTTTGTGGCTTTCTCGCCGAGGCCTCAAGATGGCTCCAAGATGGCCCAAGAGAGCTCCAAGGGAGCTCCCAAGGCTCCCAAGCGCGCTTCAAGAGGGCCCCAAGAAGCGCCCAGGAGGGCCCACTAGGCCCCAACAGGCGCCCAAGAGGTCGTCAAGAGGCTCCCAAGAGACCCCCAGAAAGCCCCAAAAAGCTCTCCGAGGCACCCAAGACGCTCTAAGAGGCGTCCGGGACCGCCAAGAGGCCCCCAAGACGCTCCAAGAGGCCTCCACTGGGTGACCCTTCCTCTGTGTGCTGCCCACTTCCTTTATCGAGGCAATTCCTCTGGGCATCGTTTCTGGATGGGCTGGTGGGTTTTTTTGATCGCGAGCGCACCGGAAGACTTCGGGCGCCGTCAGAACGAAGCGTCGATGCAACGGCCTACATTAGCGCACAGAAGGAGAAGGGCGAAACGAAGACTGGTGGGGTTACTTTTTAGTCAGCGACCGCAGGCGAGAGCGCCAGCGGCGAGTCGAGTCAGAGCGGGCCGTGCAAAGACGAATCAACCTAAAGCCGATGGGCCGGAGCCTCACGCGGCACCTCGGCGGGCAGGCCGGCGAGTGGAGGGGGGCTGGCTGCGGCTGCCAGGGTAGCTGCGCTGCCAGGGGCTGCACGCATGCAACGAGCTGCGGAGGGACCGACTGCCAAGGGGCCGACTGCCAGGGTCTGCAAGCTGCTGAATTAACCATAACCGCCTCGGGGTCCTCGGCAAGCAGTGGGTATGGATCTATAATCAAGCCCTGCGTCATCATCATCTCCCGTAAACCCCCGCCCGCTCTGACGAGGGAGAGGAGGGAAAGGAAAGGGAGCGGAACGCTGGGGACACGACCAGAGACACGGAAGCGAGGGAAGAGGGGGAGAACACGACGACACAATGTGTAGGAGCACGAGCTGGTATACGAGGAGGGTGCGCAGGAAGTGCCAGAAGTGAGTGATGACGGGACGATGATCTGCAGGAGGATGAAGAGAGAAGGACGTGATGGAAGAGGAGGAACGGACGAGCGCGAGGAGAGGAAAAGAGGACGGGGTGGCAGAAGGGGACGAGGAGGAGGGCGGGGGAGGAGAACCAGAGGGGAGTACGAGGGACGAGAAGGATGCCGAGGACGAGGCGGAGGACGGGAAGAAGGCCCCGATCCCCGACGTCGTGATTTGTAAATCAGAAAGCTATAACTAAAAGCATGTCGCCCGTCGGTTGACCTTCACAAAGACAAGTTCCAACATAGACAGCCCAGCTACAAAATGTCCATGCGCTGCCCAGGAGGAGAGGAGAATCTGAAGCCGGGAAGAGCTGGGGGCGGGGCAAGCGGTGCTGCTCTCTGTCGGCGCCGACTCAAAGCGTTCTGGGGCGGAGCTAACCAACACAGCCGTCACCAAAAAAGCACAGGCTACGGCAAACATGGTTATGTGATTCTGACCCGGCCCCACCCCGGGGGCAGCGCGGGCATCGTGGCGGCGTGCGGCACCGCCCCAGGGGCAGAGCCAGTAACCTGATCCGCCGTTGCCGAGCTCACAGAAGTGTTTTCCTCACTTCGCGAGGCAACAGAACGCATCCACAGTGAGCTGAGTTTGTGGGCGACCGCCAGTCGCAAAACTTATCGAGCACGGCCGCGCGCGCGTGCACGCAGACGTTACACATATTCGATGGCTCAGGGGGCCTATCACAAACCATCCTACTTTAACTGGCTGCGACAAACTTTTCCCATCGCGTGCCGGCTGTCCTGCACGTGGCCTGTATTTCCCCGCCTGTTTGCGAAGCGTCACGCCTGAATTGAACGCAGCGGAGATACGTAGGTCCCCGGTTTCCCGAAGATCTGGAGGAAGGTGGCGGAGAGGAAGAATTTTCCCACCGAAAGCACTCCACCAGCAT